AGTAATTTGGTATTATAATGTGTTTCGAAAATACTTGTTTTGTTTTTTCAGATAGGTTGTCAAAAAAAAAAAAAAAAAAACTGACTCCCCCCCCCCTCCCCCGCTTTCAAAAACGATACTACTTGCCTGTATTTTATAATTTTAAATTTTCTTAACACCTTTATATGCATTTTAACTATTCAAAATAGACTACCGCCGATACATCAAAAACAACATAAATTAAACTTTAATTTACATAAGTAAAACGACTGTATATTTTTTCTACATTTTCTTGGAGTTTTTATGAAATCACCACACGCTGCACAAAAGTTAAGACTACATGTACTACATGTACTTTGTTACATACATATACCAAAAAGTGAGATATGCGTTTCAATATTAAAATTTAAGTTGCACAATTAATATTTGCTCGATTTTCTTTACTGTTGATTTCCAAAAAGTTTTCGGTCAAATTCCACAACCCAGATGATCGCAACATTGCTTCAAAAAAAAAAAAAAAAAAATATGAATTGCTAGTAATATAATCTTTAATCAAAAGGTATTATTGGTGTGTCAAATAGCTATAAATCGATTAGCGTACATGTGTCTTTCGTTCCAGAACCAGCAGGGAAGGATCTCTGTATGAAAAGGTCACGCATGCACATCCTTGATTATTACCAAAAGTACACACAGTAGGTGGTGGAGGAGAAGAGTTTGATTTGTTGTTAACTCTCCTGTATTATATCACATGTTTTTATTTATTTTTATTTAGGCCTTTATGTCATTGTTTTAAACTTTCAAAAGAAATTGCTATATAGAGGAATGACATACTTTTAAAAATCCAACAATTAAACACACAACTGGTAATATGCATCCCCCTTTTTTACGTTATCTATACAAGTATTCTGTGAAGAATGTTTTTTATTCGGGGTTGTTCATATACTACAAGTTTAAGATTGTTTGCCTGTCAATTTATCTACATGTATAATATGCGTTGTACATATATTCTTGGGAGTCTAGCGGAATTTTAAAAGAATCTTTTTTAAAAAAGATTACCAACACGTTAATTACTCCTCCTTTTGTAAAAATTTTATAGTATGTTGCAAGCATCCAAACCACATTGAACTGTTCTCTAATGAATATTAATGAAATGTGCGCAATGAGGATGCGTAGCATATTATGTCGATGTTGTATTCTCACTCGTGCAGTTTTCGTTTTTACGTTTGTGTAACTTCCTCACTATATATCGTGTAAATATTTTGTTGATTGTGCAGTTTTTCTATAGTTTGTGTAAATTTCAATAGCTTCGTGTATATTTTCCTCACTTTGTGTAAGTTTTTACTTACTCGTGTAATTTTTGTTTTAGGTCGTGCAGAAAATAATTTTGAAGCAATCGGCGTGCCATATATTTACACTCTTCCACATTACATTAACATCAATATTTTATTATTGTATTATTGTAGCTACCAAAAGATTTATATAATCAGTTTCCCCTCTATATTTATTCACTACCCCTCCTCCGTGGGTATGCACTTGTGTGTTCTCTTAAGAGTATGTAGCAAGCGTCATTTTTTTCTTCTTTAACTTTATATTAATATTTTTTGTTACTACTGTATCACACCTGAAATTGTTCTTTAATTATTTTTTTTAATTTGAATTCAACGGTACCATATTCTGCTGTTTTTTTTCTCTCTCTCTCTCTTATACATACATATTGACACAAATACATTATATTTCTTCTGTATAATTACAGGACCGTAGGAAGCGGGGAGGGGGGGGCTTTTTTTTCTTTGCTTGTCAAGGAATTTTTGGTAGTTGATAGGGCCCCACCACCTAAAAATGTGTGGCTGTGCCCCCCGCCCCCAACTGAAATTGCTTCCTACGGGCCTGAATTAGAACGTCATTCATTTGTGTGAATCGGCATGCTTTCTAATTCAACATCATACATGTGATAAGTCAAAGACCACAAAACTGTACAGGAGCCATAAAAAAACTGGAATTTGGGTGAAAAAACTGTACACTGCTTATCAAAAAACGGTACAAAAAAATGGTATAAAATATCGCTTAAATTCTTCTGAAATTCCATCGTAATCATTGTAATAAACATCGTATATTTTATACCTATGAAGATCTGGGTCAGATTCACGTATATTAAGACTAAAGTCATGTATATCAACTTTCGAAGTTGACTTAATTTTTTTCAATCAAGTTACGTATACGAAACATTAACAGTAATTAAGTACCCCTTAAAATATAAAGCTACCTAAAGGGATATTTGATACGGATTTATAGCAAGATAATTATGGCAGTTCACACCTTCGCACGCCATGGTTGTGTACACTACACAATTATCAGAAGGTCAAGTGTCAAACAGGTGACGTTTTTCAGTGTCTCGCGAGCGAGAATGAGAGGAAAATGGCGGCATTTAGCGAGAAATTCAAAATACTGTACAAATTTTCATATTCTGTGAATTTTGGTGTCCCGCCGGTACACTATGAATGGGCTCAAAAAACTGTACATTTTGCGTACAGCCTGTACATATCACATGTATGCAACATGTATGTAAATTTCAAAAAACTAACCTGTGCATACATGAAAAAAAAAATTATATGAAGGACCTTCAACGTATTTCATACCCCTGACCGACCAATCCACTTCAGCACAACATATGGAGAAATGGTGTTCATTCTTCTCATTTACATATCGTCCATATTGGAGCTATAATGGCGACAGATTCCATAAAGGTTTATATAGAGAACGAACAAAAACCCGCAGATTTTTATTTGTAAGTATTTCGGATAAAGTTCTTCCGCCGATGTTTAGATTTTTCTTAATATCTTCTACCGGAAATGACAATATTGTTGATGCCAAAGTGAAAGTTGCGACCGCCTTTTTGATTTGAAATTCCGAAGCGAGAGTATAATGTTTCAATGAAAGAAAGAGTACAGAATTGGTGTCATTATCATTTTTGGTGATTAAATGTAAGTGTTTAATGCAAGTTGACAGAGTTCTTCCGCCGATTTATAGATGCAGACGAATGCCTTTTTTTTAATATATAAAATACAGATGATTTATCATTTCATAAAGAGTTATCACCGCCTTTTTAATTTGAAAACGGTAATTTCTTGCATCAGTGTGACCTACCAGGCCCGTAGGAACCAATTTCAGTTTGGGGGGGGGGGGCACAGCCATACATTTTTCAGTTGACAGTTGAGGGGGCACTACCAAAAATTTTCTGACAAGCAAAAATAAAGTATCTATGTTTACTATAGTAATCTATATATCGGCAAAATTATTGGGGGGGGGGGCACGGCCCCCCCGTGCCCCCCCCACCCTCCGGTTCCTACGGCCATGCCTACTTATTACCAAAACAGGTGGTTTCATGAGTTGTCAACTATTAATAACCCAAAACTCTGCCCAAGTAACTATGACGGAGGCTTAAAAAAACAAAACAAACTGTGCTTGCAGGTTTTATAATAAAAATTTAAGGTAGAGATTGATAGGTTGTCAACAAAAAAACTAACCATTGAAATTTTCTGAATTTTATATATGTTTGTGTTGAGTCTTTGTTCTAAATCATATTAAAAATTCAAGGTAGGTCATCGGGCTAGTTTAAGAGAAATTTGATTATTTTAATATAGCCTTCATCACCCACCGAAGAGCTGAAAAAGCAGGGTAAAATAATATAAGAAGAAGAAATGAAAAGGGCTATAAAATTTTCATTGATATATTAATTATCATTTGTCTTATATGAATTGAAACATCTGTCTATATGAATTAATATTTGACATCAATCTTAAAAGTATCAAGCATTGTAAACAAAAAACAGAATTACATTCACCAAGATGCATGGTCAAATTACGTTAAAATACTGCCTATTCATTGCTCAAAGACTCACACTTCTGCTTCCACTCTGAAAAAATTACCCATCAAATTTCTTTTTTTATTGCATATTATAGTTAGTCAATAGGTATCTTAAATTTCAGAAAAAAATCATACTACATAATGGGGTTTAATTTCAACCTGGTGCAAGTTTATTATCTTACACACTACCCTACCCCCTTCCTTTACAAAGGATGCACTTTTGAAGAATATGGTGACTAAGAGAGATTATCAAAGAATTCATCAAAATATTTCACAGAAAATGCGTAAATTCTTTGTAATATTCTTCTAAATTACATTTTATATCACAAAAGCAAATATTTATACATCCTAGACACATGTTGCCCTGGTTGACCTTTTTGCACTTACATTCAAACAGATATAAACTTTCCTTTATATCGTTAAAATTGACTTTGATAGATTTATTATACATATGATTCTTGGATGAATTATCAATGACAATATCTTTTGACCAATTTTGTGCATAAATAAACTGTTCTTTTAATCTTCCTTTGACAACATTAGTATTAATTTCACTTTCCTTTAACAGTTTCTTTTTCATTCCAAATACATGTATAATATATATAAGAATACCCAGTGATTATGAAGTTTTGTAAACAGAATCAATCCACAGTATGTTATCCTTGTTTTAAAGATATTCAAATAAAAGCATGAGTTATGTGTTTCACTGTTTAATGAAGACTGCCTGGTCATCAGTAGTCAGATATTAATACACTAAAGCATCACATGGTAAAAAGTGCGGGGAAATAGAGTGATTCGTTTATCATTACATACATACAAAAATAGTGTAATAATTTACGTAAGAACATATAATTTATTAAAGGTAATAATTTGTAACTTTAAAGTATAGATTTTACACACAGATTCATAAAAGTTAGAGGACTGTATATGATGGTGTACAACTTTTAAACTCAGGATGTAATTCAACAAAATAAAGTGAATACATTCAATAATATGTAAGTTTTTCTTGAAGTCCAAACTCCTCAAGTAATTTCAAGAAAATTGGAATGTCATTTGATACAACATTATGACCTACAACAAGAAAAGGATGGTTTGATTTAAGAAAATCTAAGAAATATAACAATGCTTGATGAATGCACATGTTGATGCTACATGTACATGTATTACCATTAAGATTCATTTGGAAAAGTAAGATAAACTTGTTATTTTGCTAGCTGTAGTTTTTTGGCTTATTGGCTGACGAAGATCAATCATTTATGTACACATGTATGAATCTTTAATTGCCATCATATGGATCCAGTTGTGTCATGTTCAAGGAACCGGACAATTCTGTTGATTCTATGTCAATACAACAAAGGTGTTCTTTTCAGAAGGAGCTGCAATGAGCGGAATTCATTCTGTATATTCAGATTTTGAAGCACATATATAATGGGTGGGATATGTCTGTTCCTCTTTACTGTATCCTTCTGGTAGTTCTTTTTCTGAAATGAACAAATTATTTTAATATTTAAAGAACTAAAATACATGTATTACTTCTTTCTTACACTGTAAACATAGTATGACTATGTCTATATTATGAATATAAGACATTTCTGTCAGATTATACTGTAGCAATACATTTTTATATATATGTATTCATCAAATTGTCATGAATCTTTTAATCAAATGCATATGTAGTCAGCCTCATTAATCTGGACACTTTTGCTCCCATGGAAATTGTTTGGATTAATGAAGTGTCTAAATTAAAAAAAAAATTGGTATATATAGATAAAGATTAAATGTTCTAGTTTCTCAATGTAGGTCACACTCTAAGGCCAAGATCATGGGGTTAAAAAAAGAAATAAACATGTGAAATACAAAGACCCAGCAATAACTGTTTAAGAGTTAAGGCCAAAGGATAAAGTTTTTGTGGAAAAAACACTACATGTACCTGTCAATGAAACATCTTCAATGTAAAACAATACATACAGCAACTAGCAACACCTGTATGTGTACTTAAAAAAGCGGGCTTCATATTTTAGCAGCTTTGGCGCAGACAACGATGCACTAATTCAATAATACTGCTAAGAAATCATTTATAAATACAATATACAGCAGGGACATATATAGTTCGAATTCATGATTTTGCCAAAAATTCCACACCCAGTAATTGCGCTAAATTTTAAATACGCAAATTTATGTACAGTAACTATTATATGTGGAATTAAAATACATTTTTTACATCATTCTTATTCCTTGGTTTTAATCCAGTCTTGTCCTAATTACCTTATTGACATAATTCCAATATTCTTTTGTAACACTGCATATGACACTTGATTATATAGCCAAGGATCATGTATGTCCATAAGATCTGTAACATGAAGAAAAGACAATAAAAATTAAAGTAGATAGCTTGATCTATTTAAAAGATATTGTAGAATTTATTAACAATTCTGGCCCCAGGATCATGAAAGATCTTAAGCTTAAGTCAAAATCTTAATGTTGCACTAAAACATTGTAGACATTAAATAGACCAAAATTAAAATAATTGTCAATATTGCATTACAAAAGTGTTTTTATCTGCAAATTTAGAGATTAATTCAATAATTAATAAATACTTTACAGGCGATTGAAAATTTGACTTAAGTCTAAGTCTGTTTCATGATCCTGGGCCTGATTTAATTTGTAAATTTAATTTTTTGTAAGTTTAGGTATGATAATGTGAAGAAGTCAGTATGTGCATGTATTGTTAAAAAACCATGTCTCATAAGTTTTTTAACAATACTGACTTCTTCAGATTATCATACCAATTCTTTGGTGTTATAGTTGAAACAATTTCATTCAAGTTAGAAGACATCTTTACATTTTATAATTTTTGGTTACATGTATTCAGTTTTTAATTCAATTTACAATATGGTTTTTTTTTGTATGTCTATACACAAGCATTTACCGGTACATGTATTTAAGTCAATAGAGCACCTGACTAGTGATGCAGGTGTCCCAGGTTAGAATCTCGGTCCAGCCATACATTTTCCTCCTTTCCTGTCACACATGTACAGTTACTATAGCAGATCTGTCTTGAATTTTCCTGAAATATGTATATGAACTTTGAAAAATTATTGACTTGAGAAAATGCTTCTACATGTATACAATAGTTTGTACATTATGGTGTGTAACTTAAGAATATAAGGACTAAAAATTTGAAATCTAATAAATTTATAATAATATAAAACACCTCCCCCCCCCCCCCCTTATTGGAAAAATTTCTGGATTTTCCCTGATACATGTGCAAGTGTAAATTGAAAGGAAAAAATAAGAGATGAAACAAATTAAGCTTTAAATACAAACCAATGGCTACTTTGAAGTTAATGTAAAAAGCACCCTTGATATTCCTCTTTCCAGCTGACACTTGATTTGAATGGCCACATTATTTCTGCAGAGAATGCTGAATACACTGCCTTAGCCTAGTCCATATTTTGCTTCACCTGTAGTATTTAATATTTCTTTTAGTATTTATGATATCTGTTTATAATCAGGGCCCTTTTGAGCATACAACAAATACATACATAATTTATTACATGTGCATAATTATTACATAAACTTGCATTTATTTAAAAATCTTTTGAATACAGCACCATTTAAACTGTAATTTATCATCTATGTATATGGTTCATAAGATAACATGTAAAATACATGTACTTAAATAATATACAATGTTAAGTATTAAACAGGTCCAGTCAATCAGTACATTTATCTGCATAGGTTGAATTACCTACAGACGGCTACTGTAACTTTATTTAGCTACTTTGGGTAGCTTTATTTAGCTATTTCAATGCAACTTTTTACAAATTTGCTTTTTATTTCAAAAAGACAAAAGATCTAGAATTGCAAGTAAATATCCACAATTACTTATACAAGGGATTAATATTTAAAAAGCGATCCAAAGCTGAGAAAGTTTACACATTTCTGCGTTTTAACACTTTAAGCAAAATATGTATTTCTATTGTTTGAGTAACTATACACAGCCTGGTGTGCGTTTAGGCACAGAAAAGTATGATTACTTCACATTGTGCTAAATAATTACCAATCCGGCCTTTATCATGTTCACCAGAAATGTCTGGTCTTGTTATTTCATTCAAGAAGTAAGAGTCTGGTCATAAAATAAGTTTGACTTTGCAGCTAAATAAAACTACTTTAGTTAGGTAAATAAACCTATGTAGGTAATTCAAGCTACGTAGCTAAATCTAGTGATTGTACCAGACCTGTACGTTAAACTGTTAAACAAACATGCACCATAGTCGTAATATTCACCTGATGTATCTGAAACGGACACTGCAAACAAAACATTTGTTCTGCAAAATTTTTACTTCTTCCATCATACCAATTAACATCTGCAGGGTCATGGCCTTTAATCAGCTTATGTCTATATTCAAAACCACATCAGACACAGATACCGGCACCCACGTGGTGCTGCAGTCGACAAGGAGTAGTTTCACCAAAATTATGTTCATGGTCGGTTTCAGTCTCATTTTCATTTCGATTCTTATTAAGGTGTTTCAATTTCGAGGACCGTCAAGATTAAATATGTATGGAAACTTTGTCTTTTAAACGAGGAAATTTTCTCGACTGCTTCGTCGTCCATCTTGTAGCATAGACAATAATGTGTAAATGAAGATTATTATTTGGCGGCAATGCGGAATCCGGAAAAACAGCACGTGCTAATATGCGGATTCTATCAATCACGTGATTGCTATCCGTCTCTACCTTAAAGAAATGGAATATTTCGAGTCTATGCAGGATCTTATGAATATTAAGGCAGTGTCTATATGCACGACCGTCGTGCACTTACTTTTTCATCGGCTATTCGCACGACCGTCGTGTATATAATTTTTCAATGACTATTTGAACGACCGTCGTGTATATAATTTTCATTGACTATTTGCACAACCGTCGTGTATTGTATTTATTAATCAGCTGTTCGCACGACCATTATCGTTTACAACTTATTATGTCATTTTGTTTCGCCCCCAGTTAAGTTCGGCACGCAGTGATTTAACTGATTTAAGCCTAGAAGCATTTTAGTAAGAAAACATTCGAAAAACTCTTTCATAATGTTAATTTACATTGTATATGCTAAAGTGACATATAGATCCAATAGGCTGGTCGGTGTAATGTAAATATATTTCTATTAGAACTACCCTTGTATATATACACGTCACTATAACAAAATGTTTACCTACTATTTTGGTAGGTTTAACCCCTCAACCTGAACCTAGTCCGAGATATCTGAGGTTTTCCAGGTTTTTTTTTTTTTTTTTTTTTTTTTTTTTTTTTTATAGTGATTTTGATATTTAGTGTTCCTGGAAAAGCACGTCAAACTAAATCCCACCAATTAAAAAGAGCCATAGAACATTGGATAAGCATTTTGCCTACTCTAGTAGTGATTTCTTAAATACACTTTTTAACCAAAATTTTGTCATACAACCATTGTTATTACACACGTGTAATCTCAAATTAAACAATAATGATATTCATATGTTAATACATATTGTAGTTAATTCCCATATATAATATAATTATAAAAATCATCAAGTTTGTATGGAGTATGTAGTAAATATTGAGGTATATCTAGTTAAACGATGACAAAATGTTGACAAAGACCACTCCTTACCAGAAAAACATTTATGACGGCACTTTATTTTGGTTAAGGTGAACATTTATATATATTCATTTTTCTTCTCATAGGCGTATTATTTTAAGATTTGGCAATCTGTCTTAAATTCATTATTCATTAGCAATGACTTCGTGGTGCAGTGGTATGATCGCTGAAATGTAAATGTGGTGATTCGAGTTCAACCTTAAGATTTTTCCAGTTGTGCTCTTTCAAATTTTTTTCTTTCATGTGTATTTTTTTTACACGTTTTATTCAATACTTTTATAATAAACATAGTTTCAGAGAGTCATAATATACACGTTACACTTTGAAAGTATCTCGGGAAAAGACAGTTCTGAACTATTTTATTAAGTTTTGCGTAATGCTTGTTTTATTTTTATTGAGTTTCTAAATCTTTTGTCCCAAAATTAGAGTAATTTGAACAGTCATGTAAAATGACTGTTATATGACATAATTGCAACTATGAAAATATAACACTCGTCCGCAAATGACATTACGTTAGTTGAAAGTACTGCTCACGTTCAATTTTTTATGTCATCAATTTGGTCATCAATATATCATTGAAATTCCATGGCAGATCCAGAATACAACATATGTGTGAGTGCACTGTGTGGTTGAGGACCGAAAGGGTATATAGGAGGGTATAACCCAGTAACGTAACTTTTACCCCCCCCCCCCCAATCATCGCTAGCCAAGTGTGAAAGTTAATTGTCTACCCCTGGCGATCTGCACGTCTTCTCTTTTAAAACGGATGTTGAGTGATCAACCCCCTTTCCAATTTTATTTTCGTTTCTAATCTTCATTATTATTATTTTGTTTTATAGATTTGTTTTCTTTTTCCAGCTAATAAACTCCTTCATCTAAATTTTTATGGAACTGATAGAAATTATATAACGATTCGGTTGTATTCTTCCGCACACTTGAATAGCTCATAATATACCCATCCTCTAGCTGGTGCATCCATATATTTTATACATGTACTATGTAAAATAATCAAAATTATCTACAAAAGAAGCTGTACCGTAAAAAGAAAGAGGCGTGAAAGGAAATGGTTGTGGGCTATAATATTTAATTCAGTTTCAAATAGAAATATGTAAATGGAGTAGTCTGTAAACTTCAAGTATGAAAAGAATAGAAATAGAAATACTTAAAGATGTGAGAGAGAACCATAAAGGGGGCACGATCATGTGTCCCAGTCTATAACCAGACTAAAACTGATGAAATGTGGTATTTATGTCCCCATCCTGTTTCTAAACATGCATTTTACAATTCAGATAGGGGATTGCATACAAAGGTTTTTTTTCATCTGAAGTTGGAGTGTAGATCTTACACAGGTGTCAATCCCTCATATGTTTTACATTTTTTTTAACATGAGATAAAATTGAAAAAAATGTTGAGGTAATTAAATATCAACATAAATGTAATATTTACTATCGTGTGAAACAATCAATTGCTTGCATTTCTTTTTTTAAAAAAACTGAATAAAAAAGATTAAATTTACACATAAAGCCAGAAACGGAATCATCCTCACAATGTCAAAGTTTAGCGATTTTGGAACTCCACACAAATCTGATCGGGATTGAATCTCTTTGAATTATCAATTAGTTTTTATTTTTATTTTACCAAATTCTTTCTAATTTAATGTGTGTAAAAGAAAAGAAATATCCGTTCATAAAAACATTCATTAAATAATAGTATCTAAATGTCAAAAAATGTTGACATAAATGTTCATACTGGGGTCAAATTCCATTTAAAAACAACGTCTTCGAGCACAGGTCGGTCGTGTGTGTGTATATATATATATATATATATATATATATATAAAGCACATTTTACAACAACTCTTAAACTAATATAACTGCCCTAAGTGAAGAAATATTAATATAGAAAGCACAGAAAAATTCACTTTTATAAGGATACCCACTTCCGCCCCAGCCCGGGGTTGAACTCTCGACCTACGGAATCTGTCTCCTAGCAGTACAGAAACAGCGCGCTAGACCGCTCGGCTATCTAGGCAAGTTAAAAAAACTTGCTTTCGATGCCGATGGAATTCTCGCGGCGCTGTCCTATACTACACGGTCATTGAGAATGGAAGTGAGATACAGTTATTTGAACATTAGTTTTATTAGAGGATCGCTACCAATACATGTTGTAATGAAATTAATTTTTATTTATAAAGCACATTTTACAACAACTCTTAAACTAATATAACTGCCCTAAGTGAAGAAATATTAATATAGAAAGCACAGAAAAATTCACTTTTATATATATATATATATATACATATATATATATATATATATATATATATATATATATATATATATATATATATATATATATATATATATATATATATATATATGCATAATAGCTATTAACGTCGTGTGCATATCTCTGGTAATGTGCGATTGCTATTTGCACGACCGTCGTGTAAATAGATTTTTTTCTTACCTATGTGCACGACGGTCGTGTATATATCTCAGCAATTTGCAATAGCTATTCGCACGACGGTCGTGTAAATAGACTTTCTTTTCTATGCGCACGACGGTCGTGTATATATCATCGGCCGAATATTAATGAGAAGTAAATCACGTGGGAGCAACCTCATGAATAAACTGTACATCATTTCTCCATATGATACCTTTTCATACTTTATAATATTAATAAATGTTTAAAGTAACAATTTTTGATGTTTCGTTTTGAACACAATTACAAAAAAATATACATTAATATCTTGTGATATTACATTACAGGCCCTTAGGAAGCAATTTCAGTTTAGGGGGCACAGCCATTCATTTTCAGTTGGGGTGGGCACTATCAACTACCAAAAATTCCTTGACAAGCAAAAAAAAAAAAAAAAAGAAGTTTTTATTGAGGGGGCACAAGCTAGTAGTAGCTATATTTTCTATAGTAATCTATATATCCGCAAAATTATTGGGGGCGGGGGGGGCATAGCCCCCTTCCGTGCCCCCCTGGTTCCTATACTGCCATGCATTATGCGTTGTTCTCAACGCAAAAAATAAATAACGCAAAAGGTAATGTTACAATCAAGTGTGTTATTACATTTTGCGTTAATCACGCAAATTGTACCAGCGCAAAATGTTATAATCAAAAATCTTGTTTTGCATTTTGTGATTTTGCGCTGATCTCGACGCAAAATTACATTTCGTGTTGTTATTACATTTCGTGTTGTAACAAAGCTATTATCTTAATAATTTCTTATTTAGAATCTTATCAGTATAAATTACAAAAACTTTATAGCTTCTTTAGCTATTGCCAAAAATGCAATTTAAACATAAATAATGAAAAGTAATAAATTAAAAATAATATTTATTAAAGCGACAGTACGGCTGCAAAATGTGTGCTTTTTCATTCAAATTTACCCAATATGTCGCTAAGAAATAAGGAATAAAGTTGATGTAAGCAATTTGAGAAACAGAAATATTCTCTACTCAAACAAAATTAACGTAATTAGAATCTGCCGGAAAATCAAGGGTCGTACGAACTGGAGCAATCTTAGATCTGTTTATTTGTACCACGTGAATTCTAAAACGACACGTGCCTACACTGTATAGTTTACAATTATAATGAATATTAAGTAAAAGCAATTCTCAAAAGCAAATTATCATAACTTTCTTATAAAATAATCTAAAATAATAATCGTAAAGATTTTTTGTCTGCTTTCAGGCGAATTTAACAGAATTAAAAGTACAAATGTTGACGTTTTGTGTATTGGGGTCCGAGAAAGGAAAAACCAACTATAGTATCATACGTTATCGCGGCAAATGTCAAACAAAATATTTTTCTGCACAGTTACACAAATTAGCACTTCAAATGGCAGCAATGTTTATAAGTCAAAGGTGTATTTTTATGTTGAGTTTACGCTAATTTTTTTTCTTTGAAAGCGGTGGAAAAATGAGAAATGATAAGTATCAACAAACCTGTCGAATAGAACCTTCGAGAGCCCTGCACGAGTGTCGCCGAGTTCCCGTTTCTTCCTTATCCAGCTATTATATTAATACCCAAACTAAATTTTAGTCAGGAAAGTTGCTTTTTCAAGTTCTATTTTCAGTTTCTTTTTCTTTTTGGTGGACTTTGTCAATGTAGCAGGCCTACCTGGCTTCTCTCTCTAACCATGCTGTTTTGTTTATGAAAACTACGCATGCGTGCATAGCATGGAATGTGGAACCCCGAACACGTTGCGATGTATATATTCACGTCCCATGTATAACTATTAATTTTAACGAAATAATCAAAATTATTTAATTGTGACAGTTGTAATTTTCTGAAAGTTTATACATTTATGAGCAGTAAAAAAATACCAAATCTTGTCGGAAAATTTTATCAAGTCAGTTTTTTGATGAGATGCGCCGTACTGTCACTTTAAAGGTAGAATATATTGCCAAATCCCGGTCCACTCCAGATTTTATACTTGCTGGTTAGAATATGAGTGGTTTCGTCCCACCACCTTTTCGCAATTAGTGATTTTGCCCCCCTTCCCTGTTCGCCTTCAGTGGAACCCCCCCCCCCCCCCCCCCCGGTGAATTTTGATGTTTATGCCAGTAAAAGTCGTTTGATAAGTGGTTGTTTATATTAACATGATTAATGAGCACTTGATTACTATGAATTCAATAAAAAGTTGCCGATCAATACAAAATTTTGGAACAGATTCTATAATTATGATACAAACTTTTTTTTCAATAACAATATATATGCTCATATGGGTAAAAATAATAATTTGACCGGATTAATTTTATTCCCCTATCTCATTTTTAAAAAAAAATTGAACAAAGAAGATTTACTTCTGACATTTAAAAAAATGAATACATTGTATAGCTTTGGATACATGTATCAAAAACCTCTCTCACAGCAAACGCGCAAATCACAAGCATAGAACATTACTGGTTTGTCAAAACAAATGCCCAAATCCACACGTGCAACAATTTGACACCTACAATTAGTTAATTACAAGTATGGTACGAAACTACAGGAGTCGAAACTACACAGAGCGAACATGTATGGGGCGAACCCACCCGTTACCACTCGTTATACGGCAAAAACCCACATGGCGTCCGACGATTCCAAGATGGCAGACAAAGAGTAATTTTATTCTTTTTTTTATCCAAAACTCAAATCATTTGGTGAAAAAAGGTCATGCAAGTTTTCACTGTTTGCTTGACGATAATTTTTGAAAGGGGGAGGTTGTTGTCCTGTAATTTTGTTAAAAAGTTAAAATAATATGTAAAATATATAGGTTACAAACTTCCAGAAATTTCTGTACTTTCATTTTTGTGAGGAAGTAGTAGTTTTATAAAAAGTGTGCTAGGCCGATACTTAACTTGTCAGCATTGCTAAATCCCATGTCTTCATACACGCACTCCATTTCGGTTTTTATTCAACGTGTTCAAGCTCTACAAAACATCCTAGCGCTGAAAGTGTTCCGATCCACTTTATCAACTGTCAATAGGCTATAGCAATGCTCATGAAATTTTAAATTTCAAAATATCTTGAAATAAATTAGATATTTAGAATTGCCTATTATTTCTGATTACAAAACACCAAAAGTTATTGGTTTATCTTGAAAATTAAAAAAAAAAGAGCATCATAAACATGGGTACCCTAGCATATTTTTTTCCATCTATGATTTCAGGTTTTAGTGAAAAGTGACCCTTTAAATATTTGACTAAATTTCATGAGATTTTGATTGATATACAATTTATATGTGCTCAGGAATGACTAAAGAAGAATACTAAAGAAACAAAAAGGGGTTTAAATATTATAGAAAGTATATATTTAGGATCAAAGACACCCACCCCCACAAATTTTAACCCACATTTTCTTTGATTAATGTGTATCACTGTATGAAAGTCTACTTGAGGATTTTTTTAAATCTTTATTATCTACTGAATATGCTGTACATAAAATACAATTTTATTAATACAAACAATATAGCTAAAGAAATAATAATATAATACATTATTTATTAAAAAAATGCAATTATTAATGATTTTGTATGCTATATAAATCATTAATAATTACATAATTAATTTTTTTTTATAAATAAAGTATATTATTATTATTCCTGTAGCTATATTGTTTGTATTATGTTTGTATTAATGAAATTGTATTTTATCTACAACATATTCTGTAGATAATAAAGATTAAAAAGAAATCCTCAAGTAGACTTTCACACAGTGATACACACATTAATCAAGACTATATAATATAGGTTACAAGTGTATTTTGTTTATTATTATCTGACATTAAAGAAATCCACTCCCCAAAAAAAAGATGTTTTTGTAGAACAATTCAAACTAATGAAGTCTCGACCGTGTGGTTTACTGTTAGTAGCTTACACATGTAATATGAACTTTGCATGTAGTGTACGTGTAGTTCGAATTTCCTCTGTTTACCAAATGTCTCAGCTGTTTTTCTCAAGAAATACCTCATGGATTTAATAAATTTACCCAACATCAAGTAAATAGATAAAATGCGTTTATAAAAGTATATATATTAAAGGGGAAATGTGTCTCATTGTTATATTTCTCACGTGAAGTAATTTTCACTTACGATTTTTTTCTACAGATAAAGCTATTACCGCGGAAAATCTTTCGATTTCTCTCGGTTTTGTTCCTTGGGCTTCTGTTCCAATCATTGTCATTTAAATGTTTGGAGTAATAGGGGAGAAAACATGGGTATTAAAAACATATACAAAACTCGGACATGTTATTCACACAGCTTAAAATATACGAACCGCAGCACCACCTATGACCGTGAGCATTGCTACAATAGGTGAACTACATGAAGATGAAAAAAAAAATCAATCAAAAATGCCAATTTTTAATACCACAATCTGAATTACTGTTATTACTGTTTATAAATAAATTGTGTTGTCTTAATATTTGTGTCATTTTCTAGGGCTGCCACGAATCAGAAAATTTTCGAATCGATTCGGTTCAAACAGAAACCTCGATTTTCGAATAATTTCGATTCGATTATAAGAAATAGAACCTTTTTTATTTTTGTATAAAATTTGTAATGTTTGATAATTCAAAATAAATAATGAAACAAGCTTTTATTAGACTTATTAAGATAATATGGAATGTAAAGCCAAGAAAACAAAGGAAATACCTAATGTTCTAATTACAAAGTATGAACCAAGAATCAAATGTCTGAAATTCAAATTATTAAAATACTGGTCATTAGTTTTAAAAGAGAAAACATGCATACAAATCTTTCAAACAAAACTTCCATGATTGCATATGCTAAACATAAAAGTATTGGTGATTTGCTTACAAAAGCTATTTTGCCACCATAGAAATTACGGTTGGATCTCTGATTTTAGATTCACCAATACGATATCAAACCGCCGAAACACAATACAGTCAATAATTAATTTCACATTCAAAACGATGTCAATATTAAAAGGAAATACGAAATTTCGCAGCACGGTGTCAGGTCCTCTAAATTCAGAATTGCGTCGCTGATAAGTGTGGCCTAAATGCACTAATCTTCTGTGCCATATTTCTGTAGGAAATGGAAGTAGTCCCTAGTTAGAATAATCTAACTGTGTCTCGGGACAGGCCCTCACCACAGTTCGTTAAACCGGGTCCGTAGGACATTTATCATTTTAACGATAGAACATTTTATCTAGTAGTCCCCTAGTTGGACTAATCTAACTGTGTCTCGGGACAACCGGGTCCATATGACATTTATCATTTTAAAGGTACTTAGATAGAACATTCTTTGTAGTCCTCCACAGACTTCTTCGCGGCCATTTTCGTGTTTTTGTTTACATCAACATGATTTGCCATCATTTCTTCCGATTAACCAATCAGAATGCATCTAACAACAGCGGATGTTAGTTTGAAAAAATCAAACCTGAATCGAATCGAAATCCAGGAAAAATGTACCGAATCGAACAGAAAGATTTTGATTCGCGGTTAACCGATTTTTCGGTTAATCGTGGCAGCCCTATCATTTTCATATAAAATGTTATGTGTAATGTGATTCTTTACTTTAAAAAAGTAATTGTAATTTAATTATAATTATTTTCCTGAAAGAGAATTATGGTAATTGTAATGGATTGCAAAGAATTGCAAAGTAATTGTAATTTTATGCATTACATATCAAAAGTTTTCAATTGTCTATAATTGGGGTCATTCAAAGGCCCCATTCCCAATTCAAAAAAGGTACCCCTTTCCCCAAATTATCCCTTCACAGTAATTGCGGTATTATTCTTTTGCAGGGCAAAATAATAACATTTGGCAAAGTTTTTGTTGACAGATAATCAGCAGGGGCTGACAAATAGATTTTTCAAGTACTTGCCCATGAGCGAGTACATGGTCAAAACTCACTTGCCCTACCTGAATTTTTACTTGCCCCAGCTTAAACTAAGAAATAGCAGGGTTCGACACTAACGGTAGTCCGTTAGTCTCAGACTAATACATTTTCATTCGGACTAATAAAATATGTGGCTAATTAGTCCGAACGGACCAATAAAAATTTCTGAAAAACAATATGAATAAATTGCCGATGTCCAATTCTCGACAACTTTTACTGGAAAACCCCGCGTGTATTTTTAGATTTCTAGCTTTTGGCGCGTAGTTACGCAATGCCGGGTCAATTCAGCGCTTAATTTTTCGACTGATCGATATGAAGTATAAGGTTTAAGGGATCATGATTTAGTATGACACTTTTAAGAAAGATGTTGGACATTTTGGATGTAATGTAAAGACAAAAAAAAAAAAAAAGAGAGAGAGAGAGAGATCGGGAATACGATCGTATTTTGCTGATTGCGAGATTTCAATGAATCTGTGGAATAATATATTTCACGTAAATACTTTGTTTATTTCAAAAAATAAAACGTATTTTAATTGTCACGTTAAATTAATGTTAGAAAACATTGATGTTTTTTTTTTTGACGGACTAATAAAATCACGTGCGGACTAGTAAAAGTAATGAAGCACTAGTCCGGCTGGACTAGAGCCTTAAAAAGTTAGTGTCGAACCCTGAATAGGAAGATAAAAAATGATTATTACAAGTGCCCATTTCCACTTAAAACTAAGACTTATTATTTTTTTTCTTGAAAAAGTCACTTGCCCTCGGGCAAGTGGTTAATAAGAATTCACTTGCCCATCCCCAAAATTCACTAGTCCCGGACGTCAGGCAATGGGATTTGTCAGTCCCTGAATCAAATGACATATTTCACCAAACTATATCATTTTGCCCTGCAAAAGAGCAGTACTGTACTTACCATGAAACACTCTATTGAATGTGTTAATATAACTAATAGTCATTTCTCCCAGAAATAAAAAAAATAACTAAACTTGCTATTCATATTCCTCTGTGTTGTAAAACAGAAATTTAGGTCATAACAAACACCAGAAAGACAATATATAATGATTTTAATGTAAAATGACTTTCCCAAAATTCTAAAAAGGTCACTACAGACCCTGAAACGTGCTACTACCCCACATGCGCGCTGCACGAACGGTACACGCTCGCTACACGGTTTGCACGAAACGCTGCACGGTTTACACGAAACGCTACACGGTTTGCACGAAACGCTACACGGTTTACACGAAACGCTTTGCACGAAAGGCTGCACGGTTTACACGAAAGCCTGCACGAAACGCTTTGTACACTTTTCTCACACGCTTTGTACACGATTCTCGCACGGTTTGGCCTCGATCTGGATTTTCTATTCGGAATCTCTCGGACTTTATTTCAATTATTACGGATTAATCAAAGATTAATTAAGAATTGCAATCATTCAGATTAAGTTAAGATTAAAACTCGCTACACCAGTACTATATTAAAAGATAAAATACTCAATGTTCAGTTGTAATTAATACATAGTTGTCAGTGAGTATGTGACCCGCCCGATGAAATACTTATTATCATCTGTGTACAAACCTTTTTTCACTAGACTCTAAATTACGCACTGAAAAAAATATCATATTTGTAATTCATAATCTTTCACAGCATCTAATGTATTTCCAATTATAATTTGATATTAAATAGTCGTTTTATTACTAACAAATAAACTCAGTTATTGATTTGAAAAAAAAAATGATTCAATTGCGTATGATTTCTGTAAACGGATTGATTTTCTTTTCCCTATTTTAATTATTGATTGATTTATACATTTTTTGATTTATTAGAAAAAAATCATTTAATAAAATTAGGCTCTGTTTATAGTTTGCAAAGGTAATATGTAAACTGCATTTAACAGGAACATTGTGCAGGAAAAGGGGGGTGTAGATTACCGAGATCTTACTGTTGTATCTTCAAATCTGTACATGACTAAATATAACGGGCACTTGTTTCAGTAAGTATACCATCAGGGGAAAAATATTACAGAAACAAGTGCCCGTTCTAAGAAAAAAAAAAGGATATACATATCTCCAGCGGGACCCGATACATGTAATTCATTAAATGCACTTTATTCAAAATGGTAAATATATCGTTTCATTACAGAGTTGAACTTTATTTAATCATTAAAATTTTATATGATAGAGATGCCGGGGGATAAGTATTGTAATTATTTAGTTCTCTTTTGAGGCATTGGTTTATCAAATAAAAACAATATTATACCCACCAACTTTTAAAATCCTTCATTTCAAACCGTGTCTAGACAAAAAAAAAAAAAAAACAACCAACAATAATTTATGTAATCAATAATCACGGCTCTTAACAATACATTCAATATATATGTATACATGTCCAATGTCCTAAAAACTAAAAAAAAAAATATTCTCTAGAACTGTGTGATTAATGAAACAACTAATATACATGTATGATTATTCAGGATTTATTTTATTTACCCATGCACTGGCAAATTAATTCACTGTTTACAGACAATCGGATAAATTTAAGAAATAAAATCCACGGGTATTTATTTATACCCATTAAATACTAATAAAACCGTTTAATTTCACACATTAAAAATCAATCGTTATTGTCGGTTGTCATCTTATCTATGATTGACAAGAGATACTTGCAGAACAAGTTTTCAGTCCCGACACGCGGAAGCCGTGATCGCTGTTGTAAATGACCTTGATCAGAGTCGTAAGAAAAGTGTTGAAAGTGTAAAGAAGATTACAATATTTTTAAGGGGTGCATCGGGCGCACCCCGAAAAAAGTAATAGATTATTTTAAAAAAGAAAATCATCAATAAAAGACTTGTTTACAACAAAAACTCAGTATTTTCATTAATTTTGATCACCCCCCCCCCCCCCCCCCCCCACTCCCGGAAATATTTAACCCTGTATTTGTCGATGCATGTGAATTATAATTCATTTATATGACTATTATCAATCAACCAATTTTATGCATAAAAAAGACTATAAATCACTCATCGTTCCAAAATAATTTGTATCACAATCTTGTAATATAAGAAAATTATGTTCGTTTATAAAGAAAATCAATTAACTGTGCTCCCCGGCCTAGAATTCCAATACTTCACATTTATAGCAACACACTAAATTTTGCATTTTATTTTTCACGAGTGCCATATTTATCTATTATTTTGTATTAATCACCAATATGTTCTTGTAATCCTACATCCCATAATTGTAGATTGGTGAAGAGATTCAAATAAATGAATGAAAAGGACAAAAATTGTTCAGTATTGCTCCCTTTTAAAATGTATTGAATCAAATACCTTAAAATTTATGTGCATATAATTAATTACTTTTAACACATTTTCTGTCTATCTTTATTGAAATAAAAAAAAGAAAGAAAATCAAACAAATATGTAATACATTACCGAGTAATTTTATTTTGTTGTTTCCGTATTTTTTCACTCTTAAAATACCACCGGTATGATATATCCGAATAATATTAGTTACAAACAACACAGAATGACATGTTGACCCATCATTAGCCATCTTTAAAATAAAAAGACTTCCGAATGAATCCTACACGTTTCTCACACGATTCTTGCACGAAAGTCGCACGTTTCTCACAAGGTTCTTACACAAAAGTCGCATGTTTCTCACACGCTTCTCGCACGCTTCTCGCACGCTCGCTACACGGTTTGCACGAAATGCTTTGGAGCTTACACGAAACGCTGCACGGTTTACACGAAACGCTACACGGTTTGCACGAAACGCTGCACGGTTTATACGAAACGCTACACGGTTTGCACGAAACGAAAAGCGCACGAAAGTCACATGCTTTTTTGGGGTAGTAGCACGTTTCAGGGTCTGTATAAATTTCCGAATTTGTATGGCTCCGGCTCCAGTCCCCAAAAGTGGAGTGAGAGGCCTGAATTATATTTGTAAACTAAAACACCCTAAAATTGCATTGTCATGAATCATGAATGATTGGTTGCTTGAATTGCAGTTTTAGAGTCAGTCAGCAACATACTGAAAACCTAGACTCCTGAGCAAGCTGGTGTTGTGACTTACCTTACTTTATCTATGTATCAGATACTGATATCATTCACAATTTAATTTTCCTAACCTTTGAGACTCGGTAGATTTTTTGCAGGATGATTGTATCACATTCTTGCCTTCAATTTTATAATTAAACTTTTATTAATCATTTACTATGGCATAACTTATAAGCCTATGTTCACATGTATTTGTTATTGCAGACAAGCTCTTCATGCACCGATAGAATGGGCACAAAGGAAAGACAAGTTATACATTACAGTTGATGTTGATGATTGTGTGGAACCCCAAATAGAGCTCACAGAAACTTCATTAACATTTAGGTATGTTACGTGCATCATTATCTCCACTGCTTATACAAGGTAAAGTTTCCATTGTTCAGGTTTCTGCATGTATTTCTGTGTATAAGGCCAAATAAAAAAATATGTGTGGTTCCGGTTACCCGACCTTCCCTATTTTATACCCCCGACCCTAAACTTTTTTTTGGCAATTTTCATATTTTTTCCGGAATTTCCCCCGATTTCCATCAATGGCTCCAGTTTAAGTTTTAGTTTCAGCAATGACGGCCTCCTTGCAAAACATAGTGCAAGTGTTTAATAGTGTTAAATCCAAAGCAAGCTAGCATGTAGGTGTCCCCTACCAATATTGACTAGTATATTATCATACCACATCTAAATGCCATTTGCAAAGCAGTGATAGGTATTATTTAGAAAAAATTTAGAAAATCATTTTGTTTCTTAAAAAAAAAAAAAAATCCCTACCTACCTACCCTAATTTTTTTGGAAGTGTAACCAGAACCACACATATTTTTTTGTTTGGCCTAAAAGAACTTTTTGTGGTTTTACATTTGAAAGCTGACCAGGTATATGCTAACACACAGTCAGAAATGTTTGATGCAAGGTGGTCTGCTTTCAGCTTAATAGTGCATTCAACTGTGCACTCTAGCTGAGTTATGCTGTGTTTTGTCTTTTTGACACATCTGCATGATCAGACATAAGATCTATGAAGAGAACTTTTTCCCCGTTACCCATGTACTCCTGGCAGACCAAATGCATTTAATCTTAGATATATAATCATCCTTTTCTTTTAGTCATTAAACCTATCTGTTTGCATGATTATTCAAGTAATGAGTCTTTTAAAAACTGAGAAAAAAATTATGTCCTCAGAGTTGGATTCATGATCCAGGGTAGAGCTTATTGTGAAAATGTTTTAAAGGTGCTTGTACACAGATTTAAAGTTAATATTTTCTTAAGTTTTCGGTATAATATCATGACTTATATGTTGCTATAGCATTTCAAATGGAAATAAAATAAAAAACTTATTTTATCTGGAAATTATTGAAACTACAAATTTCGGGACGCGTTTGATCAATACATCCTAGCAATTTCATAAAGCAAACTTTATCCTAAATACTTAAGAAAAGTAAAATTTTTGTTGTGTATTAATGAAATATATTCAAACTATAACCCAGAAAATTCAGAGTAGAAATGTAAGAAAGCAAAACCAACTCACAATTATTGTCAGTCTGTGCTCAGTGATGTGTGCAGAGTTTAACAAATTGAACACACCAGGCAAAACGTAAACATTAACAGTAACAGAGCTCGTACCCTGTTTATAAAAACAGTTTACCTTTCGCGGATGCTGAGCACGGACTGACAATATGGTGAGTTGGTTTTGCTTTCTCACATTTCTAGTCTTTATTTTCTGGATTATAGTTTAATATTTTTCATTAATGCACAACAAAATTATTACATTTTTTAAGTATTAAGGATAAAGTTTACCTTGTGAAAGTGCATGGATGTGTCAATAAGATGCGTCCCGAAATCTGTAGTTTCAACAATTTCAAGATAAAATAAGTTTCATATTTTATTTCTATGTGAAATGCTATGAGAACATACAAGTCATGATATTATACTGAAAATTTGAGAAAATATTAACTTCAAATCTGTATCCAAGCACCTTTGAGGCCAGATATATAATACAAACAAACTTTTTTTAAAAAAATCATGAAAATAACACCTAAAGTGTTGTTTATATATTTAAGTAAAATAAATAAGTTTAACTGCATAGATTTTAATTTTTGACTTAAACGGTCAGAGACCAGAGGTGCTCATGTACTGGTAAGGATGTCCAGTCAACTCGTACACAACCGGAGTCATACACAAACTGAGCCATAACAAGGAGTAAACTTGTATACAAAACTGAAGTCAAGTCGTACACAAGGTTTTCCTATGTATAAAATGAGGATTTAATTTGTACACAAGGTTTTCCTGTGCATAAAAATGAGGATTCATGTTGAACTTTCAGGAATGTAATTCCAAATTGGGAGCATCTCATAATTAGCGTTTGTCGAAGATCCAAGAAACTATCATGCATGTGTTGGTTAAACAATAATTATTTGTATTCCTAAGAAGGGAAGTTGTTAAAATGTTCAACCATTATTTTACTTATTTACAATAAATATTTCTGTTCTTCCTATTTGAGTTTCCTTAATTTTGTTTTTTTTTAAATTTTACATTTACACAAGCTTATAAAAGCCTTTCGTATGAATTGTCTGAACGTCCTCCATCTAGCTGTCTGTACGTCCATCTGTAAATTTTCATATTTTCAACTTGTTCTCAAGAACGACTGGGCCAATTTTAAACAGAGCTGACACAAAGCATGCTTGGGTGAAGGGGATTCTAAATTGTTCAAATGAAAGACCAAACCCGTTTTGAAGGGGAGATAATCAAGAAAAGACAAAAATAGCATTGGTTCATTCAAAAATCTTCTTCTCAAGAACCACTGGACCAGAAAAGCTGAAATTGATGTGATTGGGGGGGGGGGGGTATGATGTCCTGATGTACATCTGCTTCTGCTCCAAAGCTAAATGTGGGATTTTGAACAAAGTATTTCTTCCTGTGATGAGCCTGTAGGCTGTCAGTAGAAACTAAAAAAACTACAATATATTTTATTGGAATTTTTCTGTTAGTAATGGTATATTCAATTCCCTGCGCTTGTACGGGATTTCATCTAGTTACCAGAATGATTGCAGATTTATAATCATTATACATAGAATAAGGGGCCCTTGAATATAGTTACGGGAATTCATCCTTTGTTGCTATTATTCTGAAAAATATTCAAATGAATCAAAACTTGATTCATGTACATGTTTATATTTATATGAAATGGCAACTGATTATAGAATTGTCTATCGGTTAACCGCAAGACGTTCCAATTGATTAACCTGATCATCGTATCAAAATACAAGTGGCATTGATATTCCTAATAGCTACATTTAATAGGTTTATCTCTAGATCAACTGGTCAGAGACCAGGAGAGCAGACCTGCCTACCCTTCCGCTTTTGGTGTAATTCTTCCGCTTTTTACCATGATATTATGCTATTACGCCATTTACATTAGTTTTACGCTTTTAAATTTTTGGTCTAAACCCTCTTTAAGAACTGCTAACTTTGGAGTATGGCATGCAAAAATGAAAACTTCAATAATATTAATGATTAATAGAGAGCTTCGGTTTTTAGGATATAATTATTAATGTTGTAGATAAGATAACATAAGATAATGCCTGGTAGTTATAATGTAGGTTTTTAACGGGTGGCATTCCGTAGATTCGAAAAAGAAGACGAGAAGGCACTACTTTTAGAAAACTATTAAATGATATGTGCAATGAAAAGAGCAAGTTCAACTTTCAGTTCAGTTTATTAACAACATAGTGACAAGTGAATGTAAAAAAAAAGAAGCAATAATGTACAATTTGTATTAAAATTGAAATGATACTCCTAATTATGTGATTTGCTAGAAAATAACCAAATGCTTCATTAAGCATGTAAGGTTGATACAAGTTTGATATGACTGCATTTAGGATACCGATGTTCTACTTTTACATAACACATGGATTTTGTGGCAAAAAATGATTTGAAAAATAAAAGTGCTCATGCTTGCTTTGTTCAATGATGTACAATTTCAGTTTTATCTAGAGAATATATAGTATAAAAGTAAAATGTCAAAATAGGGAAACATAAAGGATTACACCTTTACCTCTGAAGTTCCAACAAATTGAGTATTGAAATTACACCTACACCATTGCAATGAAAAAGCTAGGCAGGTCTGGAAGAGTTTATGTGATAGAAAAGGTGTCCATCGTCTGTCAATCTGTCTGTCTGTCCGTCCACCTGTTAACAATTTTATCAAAACGCTACTCCTCCTACAGTTTTGGTCTGAGTTCAATATAACTTGACACATAAGAGGACTATACTTAGATACATGTTTCTGTTCATCAATTTTTGATTTCAATGAACGGTGGTGCCGTGGTTAGTAAAAATAAAAATTTCTGTGAAATACTTTCAAAACACTCGTCCTCCTACAGTTTTGATTTAATTTCAGTGTAACTTAACACACAAGTAGACTGCACTGAGATACATAATTGTCTTTATTGTTTTTTGATTTTGATGAATGATGTTGCCATGGTTACTGAAATTTAAATTTCTGTAAAATTCTTTTAAAAGGCTACTCCTCCTACAGTTTAAGTATGATTGCAATAAATCTTGCCACAGAAAGAGACTAAACCAAGGATTATTATTAGGTCACCTGAGTCACTCAGGTGACCTGTCGGTCGTAAACTTTTGAACATTTTCAGCTTCTTCTCTTGAACTACTGAACCAATTTCAACCAAATTTGGCATATAGCATCTATGAGTGAAGGGGAACAAAAATTGTGAATTTCATGGTCCCTGCCCCCCCTGGGGCCTGAGGGGTGGGGCTAAAACCACCAAAATTAATGCAGTCTTTAAAAATCTTCTTCTTTACTCCTAGACATCGAGCAGTCAGACTGTTGACATGATTGTAATAAGCATTGAGCCCTCTACCAAGATTGTGAAATTCATGGCCCCAGGGTAAGGGGTTCTGGTGCTAGGGTGGGGCTATATAGATCATATAGTGAAAATGCATTATTCCTTTGAAAATCTTCTTCTCTGCTCCTGGGTATTAAATAAAGTAACTAAGTACATAGTTATGATGAGCAAGAGTGCCTCTTCGAAAATTGAGAATTTCATGACCCCATGGTCAGGGGTTGTGGTGTTAGGGTAGGGCTCTATTGATTATATAGTGAAAATGCATTAATTCCTTTGAAAATCTTCTTCTTTGCTCCTGGGTATCAAATAAAGTAGCTAAGTACAAATTGTGATGAGCAAGAGTGCCTATTCCAGATTTGTGAATTTCATGGCCCTAGGGTCAGGGGTTCTGGTGTTAGGGTGGGGCTCTATTGACTATATAGTGAAAATGCATTAATTCTTTGAAAATCTTCTTCTCTGCTCCTGGGTATTGAA